TGGGTGGTGGATATGTGGATGGGCGCTGTCCAGGTTGGCGTCTGAGAGGTTTCTGGATTTATGTAGGCACTCCACTGCCCACGGTTGCGTGAGGTGGGGGGTGGGGGGTGGGGGGGTTAAAATTGCATTTATTTGACCAGAGAAGTGACCAGTGGCCCCGCATCGGAGGCCACGTCCAGTCAGGAGTCGCCCCCAGAAGAATAACTGCGGCTGACCAGCGACCAAGCAGTCAGAAAGCTGCAGCAGGCGAACGACGCTCAGCCATAAAAAAGATGCCCAGCCAAGCAGAGAGGGAGTGAGCGAGTGGGAGAGTGGGAGAGAGAGCGCGCGCAGCAGAGGAGAGCAAAATTAAGGGCATAAAAAGTGGGAAAAAAGAAAATAGAGTAAACTGGGGAAAAACGTAAAAAAATTGGGACAGGCTCAGACACAACGACACACAAAAGGAGAGTGAGGGTGGAAGAGAGAGAGAGAGAGAAGTCCTGGCTGCTCCTGGACAATGCTTGGCCTTCATTGTTGTCAAGCAGCGGCCACCGCCCCCGAAACTCCAGTCACTCCAGTCACCCAGCTATCCAGCCACCTTGCCAGTGTTCGCCCTGTCCGCCCCGTGTCCACCCCTGCCACCCAAGTGGGGTTGATTGAGTGGCGCGCCCATTGATGTCGGGCGCTGTCTCTGACTCTGGCCCTGGCTCTTATGCTGCTGCCGCTGATGGACCATGCCTGCGTCGCACCCCCTCTCCCTTTTGCCATTCTCTTTTCGCATTTCGTTTTCCTTTTCCTTTTTGTTGTTTTGTTCCAATTCGCTTCGCTCCCTGCCCAGCCCTGCGCTGTCCCCCCCCTCTCTCTCTTTCTGCTTTTCCATTATTTTTTACACATTTTTGTTTTGGTTTTTGTGTTTCGTGCTTTCGTGGTTTTGTTTCGTTTTTTGTTTTCGTTTGCTCATTCGCCATGCGGCTGGCTGTCAGCTGCGTCTCCGTACAGTTATATGTACATATATACCTCGTGGCAGTAGTACATAATGGTACATAGATACGTATGTGTATATACTGCTCGTGGAAACTGCAACGTCTGCAGCTTGCAGCTTTTGTTTGTCACTGCTGGGTGGTGCATTGGGTGCTGCCATTAATGGCCGAACGCACGGACGCTCGTCTCTCTCTCTCTCTCTCTCTCCTTTTCTGTGTGTTGTGTTTTCGGACATTGACGACTGAATGTGATGCTTACATTTTTATCGACACTGTCGCCGAAATGGTGCAAAAAATTGCTACGTTATGCAATGATTTTTGTTCTATTTCGAATTGAGAGAAATGAGGGAAATTGTGGCTGGTTGTGGAGAAGAGATTGCTGGGGTTACTGCTTGCTGGTGGTGAGGGACTGCTTGCTGGCTGTGAGGCACTGCTTGCTGGTCGTGGGAAGTAGGTGGCTCAGCACCCGAGATCAAATCAATTGCTAAAACACTTAAGAATAAAGATACACCTGACATTAGCTTTAGTCTTGCCAACTCCCCCCTCTTTATCGAGCTGTAATCAGCCTCAGATAGCGCTCAATTTTGCGCTCTCCATTTCAAGGATCAGGCATTAAGCAGCATAAATATGAATTGAAAAGCATTTTCACATCTCTACGACTTGACAGTGGACAGTGACAAAACTACAACACAAAAACACAGCCACACGCACACCCACACCCACACCCACACTCACACCCACACAGTCAGTGATGAAATTATGTGCATTTGCGTTAAACGAAACATTAAATATGCAAAAGTGCAGCGTGCCACCAGCCCAGCCAACTCATAAATGTTTGCTTGCAACACAACGAACAGAAAAGGCGCTCGGGTTTCGGGTTGGGGCATGGCTGCTGGGGTTTCGTGGTGGCACAAAAAGCATATTGTTGGCCGCTGTGCGTTCGTTGGGGCGTTGGTTGACCAAAAATAGAACAAGACAAATATTTTTCGACAATTTATGAGCCTTGCTCCACCGGCAGGGTGGTGGTTGTGGTGGTGGTGCTCCTGTTGGGGTGCTGCTGCTGCTGCTGGTCAGCTTGTAACGTGTATGGCATGTCCTTCCCGTAGCCTCATCCTGGCCGTAACGAAAAAATGCCATTTGCAATTAAAGCAAACAAGCAACGCAACCGTTCGGCGACGCCGTCGTCATCCTCGTCGTCGTCGTTTTCGTTTTCGTTTTCGCTTTCTTTTTGGCGGCTACTTTTTGGCAATTGCATTTTTTTACAGCCCCATGCCCATGCCCCAAAACCTCTCCTGCAAATGGGGCGAGCACCCCAGTGGCAGCAGCAGCAGCAGCAGCAGCTTCCCCACTCCCCTCTGGTATGGGGCACATGTGTGAATTATAATTTCGCGTCGCGCTCAAAAGCATGCTACATAAAAAACACAGACACAGCACACAGGAGCGGCAGCAGCAGGATGAAGGAGTTGGCTGCTAGTAGGGGGGAGAGCAACATATGAGCGAGCGAGACAGCGGCAGCATAATAAGAAGAACAACAAAAGCTGCCATCGCATTTTCCATTTCGAGCCGGGGCTTTTGCTTATCACATTCGAGGCTGTCAAGTGCCACCCATTCCCCACACCATCAGGCTTGGGCATGGGTGGACATCCTGCTGCCGCGCTCTCTCTCCCTCTCTCTTTTGCAATAATTCAATTCATTTTCTATTTTTTGGCTCATTTTTTATTTGACTCGAGCACAAAACGAAGCAAGAAAAGCGCTGCTGTCCGTTCGATTTGCAGGCGGCCTGGGTGGCAGGCAGCCCATCGATGGGAGGGCTAGGGGTGTTGGTCCTGGAGTGCTTGGTACTTGCCATGCATACAATTGTACAGGCTGACCACGACTACAGCCATGCAGCAGATACAGATACATGCCACGACACGTTTTGGGGGCAGGCAGCCAATGTACATCTCTCCGCGATGTTGCCACAAACAGCGCTAAGTTCATGTGCAATTAAGTTGCATAAACCAACTCGTTTGCTTACAAGTTCCACGCGTTGATCAGCTGCTAATTGGCAACAGTTTTTGATGAAACTTTCGGCTAACATTTGGGCAAGTTTTTGCCTCAAGGATCTGCTCTGCCTATTGTCTCATGCACCCAACACCGCTCTCTCTCTCGCTCTATCTGCTGCCTCAATGGCAAATCAGTTTTTAATTTCCGCTCATTTGCGAGAACGGCATAAAAAGACAAAAGCCCAAGCCTCATTATGGTTGCAACTTTTAGCCACTGCTGCCGTAGGGTAGAACCAACACACAGACACACACAAACACACCTACCCCTACCCCGCATAGTGGCATGGCAAGTCCCATTCAATTGAGCGTGGGTAAATATGTTGAAAAGTTAATTCATTGCACATCAGTGGGCGCCCAACACATTGCACGGCACCCAACTCCCAGCTCGCAGCTCCATTTCCATTTCCATTCCACTTTGTGGCAACTATGGATGTGCCACATATAGTGGCTGTCAGCGGCCGTCTGTTTGCCGCCTGTTTGCATAAAGGACACACTCACACACACACACACAGGACGACATTAACGTGGCTTTCTTTTTGCATTTTCATTCATTTTTTTCCCCTTTCCCCCTGGCAGGCACTCTCTCCCTCTCTCTCTCTCTTGGCTCGTGTTCTCGGCGTGTCATAAATTTAGTTCGATTTGCTGTTCAATGACATTAACTTACTTCAACGGTGGAGCAGCAGAGCAGCAGAGCAGCAGTCCAGCGACCAGCTAACAACGAGGAGTCCTGCCTTGGTCCTGCTGCTGCTATTACTGGTCTCTTCTGCCCCCGCACCCGCAACGACTGTTGCGCCAGTAAATGTCAATTTTTAATGTATTTACTGCACGTTTGCAAATGAAATTTATCAAGTGCTTTAATTAATGTTCATGTCTAGAGTTTTAGAGTTGTTCTCAAGATTGATTTTACCCTTGGAAGATTCCCCCCAGCGGCAGGCTGTGGCTCGTTCGATTGCCCATTAGAAATTCCATTTAATTACCCACCAAAACCTTCATATTATTTGCATAAATATCTATGTAGATATTGCTCCTCCTTTTTTAACACTTTTTTTTGCCCGGCTGACACGTTTGCTGCTTATTTTTTTATTGCTTTTCCTTGGGCTCCTTCTATTTCCGATTTTCCTTCTCCCATTTTTTGCGTTTCCTCTTTTTTTTTTTTTTTGTATTTGGGTTTGGTATTTTCCACTACAATTATGTTAATTTCCTATGCAAATAAAATTTAATTGAAGCTCAGCCAAGGACCGGTGTAAGGTCCCAGGGACAGCCATGGCTTGTCCTGCCATTAATGTGGATGGCGACGATGGCGCCGCCAGCATTAATTGCCAATAATTATATTGGTTTACCTTGCCACGGGGTTTCTTTTCTACCATTTTTTTGTGTCACTGTTTACTTAACAGCCAGCCAAATGACACTTTAAATTGAAAGTGCAGCAATTACCGCTTAAATAGCTGGCAGGGGAAGCACACCCCTGGCAGTGACTAATCATCCAAATATCGATGGCCAAAAATATAATTGCAATTCTCTTGAATCGAGGCAAATTAAATTTGCATAAATTGCGCAGCTCATCCGCGGCACAGATCAAAATGCCAACAAACAATGCAAGTGCGCTGACAATTACAACAGAAATTAAATTAACTTATTAACGCGCCTCTCCTTCTCTGTGTGTGTGTGTGTGTGAATGTCCTGTGCCGCAATTGACACAAATGAAATGTAATACGAGTGCGAAAGTGTCAGCCAATAATCCAATCAGCAAACAATACGGCTAAGGGGCTGAGTGCCAAACAATGGACAATGCATTAATTATGAAAATATATAATTGAATTTTAGCCAGTGAAATTCCCAATGAGTGTGATTTGCTCGCAGTTGCTCAGTGGTTGGGGTTGGAAGTGTACACAAAATATATTTACATTAAATGTGGCATGCCACACACACACACCCACACACACACACAAGGTGTAACAATTAATTACAATAATGAAATGTTTGTTCCATTTTGCAGGACTTTGACAAGGAGATCAATTGCCACAAGATCCATTCGCCGAGCGGCCACTCCCTGCACCACCACCACCACAACCACCACAGCAACAGTGGCAGCAACAACAACAACAACAACAATATCGATGATGATATGGAAATCACGGACGTACACGCCCTGCTCTCGCCCCCGCCACACTCCCACCATTCCCATTCCCATTCCCATTCCCATTCCCACTCCCCCTACGACACCAAGGATCACGTCAAGGAGCTGGAATTCTACAAGAATCTGGCTGCCAAGGCTGCCTCCCTGGCCAACCAGCAGCCCACTTCGCCACTGGCCCTGCCCCTGCCCATGCCGCTGCCCATGCAACTCGATGCGGATGAGGATGCGGACGATGCCGATGCAGATGGGGATGCCGATGGCGATGCCGATGCCGATGTCGATGCCGAGGAGCAGGCAGCGGAGGCGTTGCGTCTACGGCACGAGGAGCAGGCCCAAGCCAAGGCCTTTGCGGCGCATCTGAACGGAACTAGTGAGTACATATCGAAAGCCAAAAACCCAAACACAATCCCGACAGTCCGAGATGGAAAGCGCGCAGCCGGAAGAGAGGGGAAACCCTTTATTTTTCCAAAAAATTGTCCCCTTTTTGTTGAACAATTTGCGGACATTTGTGCGCTTGTTTTGCTTTAACTACTGAGCTGCAGCTTTCCAACTCTGAGGCAATCATTTATAAACCCAACCCACAACCCCCGCTCTAAAGCCAACCAAGAGTAAACTGGCAATTAGTGTTCATTCCCGTGTCCTCTCCCCGCCCCACCCCTCTTTGACAAAGAGTTTTAGCTACCCAAAAAACTAATGACAACATTTTGTGTGTGACTTTTGCTTCTAAATCTCCTCCAGTGCAAGACATGATAAATTTGCAAAAATTACAAAATTTGGCCACGCTGCAGCAGCAGCAACAGCAACAGCAACAGCAGCAGCAGCAACAGCAGCAGCAGCAACATCCTCATACACATCCACATCATGGGCATCATCATCATCATCCGGCTGCCACGGCCGCTGCACTGGCAAGTCTTCAGGGCTTAGCTGCCTCCGTGTTCAATTCGCCGTTGAATCTAAGCGTCGGTGGTGCTGAGCCTGTGGCAGCAGCAGCAGCTGCTGCAGCAGCCACATCAGCAACGGCAGCGGCAGCGGGGGGCACGCCACCCCACAGCAGCTGCCACAATGGCAGCAAGAACAAGACGTCAAAGGCCAACGGCGGCGGCGGCGGCGGCAACACCAACTCCAACTCCGCCTCGGGCTGCGGCACGGGCTCCGGCTCTGGCTCGGGTGGCGGCAATGCCTCCTCCTCCAGCCAGCATCCGGATAATCCCAGCAGCAGCAGCTCCCCGCACGCCCTCAATGCCACATCGCTGGCAAATGTGCTGGCTGCGGCGACCGCATCGCCACCGCCAGCCCTACAGGCGCCACCAGCCAGCGCCCAAATGCCGCAACTGATACTCGCCTCCGGGCAGCTGGTGCAGGGTGTGCAAGGGGCACAGCTGCTCATACCCACAGCGCAAGGTAAGGACTACTTATAGTTGTGTGTGTGTGTGTGTTTGTGTGTGTTCCTGTCTGTCCGTGTGCTCCATCAATATCGTAGTTGACTTGATTTGACTTTTGCACGGGAGGGGCCACAAAAAAGGACTCGCTAAAGCGATTAGAGGGAAACTTTCAATTTCCTGCCGTGAAATATTTACAAAATAACTAACACATTCCCCTCCCCCTGATAGGTATTGCCGTGCAGACGATACTCACGATTCCCGTGAGTCCGCAGATACCCACCACGGAGCAGTTTCTGCCCAATGCTTTTGGCGCCTACGCCAGCTACCAGCAGCAGCAGCAGCAGCGGGAACAGCAGCGGGAACAGCAGCGGGAACAGCAGAGGGACTTGCTGCCACCATCGCTGGCTGCACTGCAGCATGCCACAGCGTTGCCCCAACTGGCACAGACACCCACGAATTTACTCAAGCCCAATCTGTTCTCGACGGGCGTGCAGCAGCTACTGACGGCGCTGCATCCAGAGCTCTTTGCCGCAGCGGCGGCCAACCATCAGCAGCAGCAGCAGCAACAGCAGGCGCAGCAGCAGCGGGAAAGGGAACGAGAACGGGAGAGGGAACGTGAGCGCGAACGGGAACACCAAATGGCTGCTGCAGCGGCAATTGGTCACCTGCCACATGCCCATTTGGCCGCGGATCTGCGACGCTCAGCGGAGCGTACACCACCAGCAGGCTCGCCTGGCGGCGGCAGTCCGGGTTTGCCTTCTAAGGGTCCGCCTCCACCACCGCCTGGCGCTGCATTTCTGCTGCAGCAGCAACTCCACATCAAACCGGAGACGCAGACGCATCTGCACCATCATCTGCCACCGCAGGGATCCGCAGCGGTCTCCTCCTCGCATCCACAGATCAGCCTGCGGCATCCGGACGAGCTGACGGCGCCACAGATGGATCTGAAACCGCTGGAGCTGAGTTCGAGCAGCTCGCCGCCGATACCGCCGCCAGCCGCTGCCCTGGCACGCCATCACTTTGGGCACAGTCTGCGTGTGGTCTCCCCCAAGCACAGTCCCGGCCGGATGTCCGCCAGTGGCGCCTCCTCGACCGGCATGAATCTCAGCCATCATCACGAGCGGCACGATCGACACGACCGGCACGAGCGGCATGATCGACTCGAGCGACACGACCGCCACGAGCGACATGAGAGACGTTCGCACACTCCGACGGCTACGGCCACGCGGGCCAGCGTCTCGTCCAGCTCGGGCGGAGTGCCGCATCATCTGACGCATGAGCGAGTGGGTGGCAGCATGCCCGCGGGCAGACTGACGCCACCGACCTCCACATCGGCGAGCAGCGCCAACAGCACCAACGATAGAGGCTACACATCACCGCTGTTCCGGACACATTCGCCGCCCGGACACCCACTCAATATGGGCACATCGCCACGCCTGGAGCGGGATTATCTGGGCAATGGACCAAGCCTGAGCGCCGGCTCGGTGGGCGCCACATCGACCAGCTGTGGGACGGCAGCATCAGCAGCGGCCGCCAGCTCCACGGCCAATGTACTTAGCAGCATCAGCAGGTGAGCGAAGGAAACTCTTTAAAGGAATTCCCAAAGCTAAAATGTGTCCCTCCAATGCAGACTCAATGCCTCCAATGGCGAGCTGACCATCACCAAGTCCCTGGGTCCGCCGACGGCTACGGCAACGCGTGCCTCATCTGCCTCGCCGCGTGAGGACTCACCCGGCCCGGGGCCATCCACATCGAGTGCCAATCTGATGCAGCCCCTCAAGCTGAGTCCATCGTCGCGCAGCGAGCCGCCACAAATGTCGCCCAATGCCAATGACAACGACAACGATCTGCTGATGGATTCACCGAGTGAGTAAAGATCGACTCTTTCTATGTTCCACACTCAAAATGTATTCATAAGTTAGCTTAGCATTAAATTTATTGGGTCCAGCCAAGTCTCGTGGCAGTTGCATCCTTCAACGTGAATAGCCCCGAACCCGAGTGTTAAATTGAAGTGGCAGCTGCTAGAGCTCCTATAATTGGCCTGATTTGATGTTTAGATGTTTCAAGTGCCTGCCTGCCGCTGCTGCACTCCGCTGTGTGCAACGTGGCGTATGAATGATATGAGCAAGGGCGCCAAAAACTCTTGGCCCAACATTAATTAACGAAAGAGGCGAACTTTGTAGCTGGTAGAGTTTTAGGCAGTGGCAAAAAGCCAGCCCAAAACAAACTTGACTGCATTTTATGTAATTTTGCAAAAGAAAATCAACCTCAAGCCTTGCCTTTAGCCGCGTGTGAGCGTCAAAGTTTTGCTGTGCATTTACACGACTTCTCAAGACATTTGGGTAGGGAGATTCATAATTGATGCCAGAGGGAAGGGAATCTGCACGGGGATTAGGTGAGCAACCAAAACAAAACTTGTGCGAGTGCATGGCCCAAAAAGTTGCGAGATGTCAGACGGAAAGCAAAGTGTTGGCCAAATTAGCAGCAGCGTTGACGTTGTCACGCTCTGCATCTGGCATTGGATTAGGCGAAGCGCAGACACACGAGCACGGAGAGACAAAAGGCTGCCTCCGAGCTGGAGGCTGAGTTATAAAACTGTGTCCTGTCGCAACTAATTTGGGATTAGCTGGGGCCCGGATTATGGCTGGCAAGTCTCTGGGTGTTGAGAATATTGAATTGATTAGATTGGAGGCGCTCCATCCACACCCTCCTCCACACAAAGCCTTAATTGAAAGTTTTAGCTGCATTAAAAATGCAATCGGCACAAGCATCAGAGGCAGCAGCAACAACTAGGAAAACAAGTCAAACCCCTGGCACCCATTAGAGGCAGGCCATCAGGATGAAGCTTGGGACTGGGACTGGGACTGGGACTGGGGGACCTAGAGCCGTCTCGATTGCTACAACGGATCGTTTGCGCATACAAATTGCAGACAATATGCGGCTTAATTACTACTAATTGATGCATACAAAAACTTAAGATGTTTTCCGCATTTAATGACATATTTCACTCTCGAAGCCAAACAACAAGGAGCAACAGAAAGCAGCCAAAGCTGCGACGACAGCTTGAGTTACGGCAAGGCAAAAGCAAAGGATGCTGCCTGGCTGCCTGGCTGCCTGCTCCTCCTTCAATCCATTCTCGCATCTTAATTACCGCTAAAGCACCAGCAGCAGTCAGGCTGTCGTTGCATCTGGCTGCTGCTGTTTCCCCATCCTTGCAGCTCTTTCAGACACATGGCAGGCATCGTTGTCTCTTGCTTCTTGCATATCATTAATAAATAAATCAAAATTCTAGTCGAGTAGTTTGTTCGCTGAAGTCTCCTACTCTGATTGCTTGCTACCCGCTCTCCAGGCAAACAAATTAAGCAGATAAAGGCAATAAGTTTTCGCACTTTCCCTAATAGACAAGAACAACTTGGCAAAGAGTACTCCGTACTCATCCTGTAACTGAGTTACCTGGCCATGGGGTCTGGCTCTGGCTCTGCCTCTGGGTCTGGCTCTGGGTCTGGGCCAATTGCAGTGTAATAATATTTTGCAATTACCGCAATTAACTGTAATTACTCGCAAGACTCTCGACACGGCAGCAATTTATGCTGTCATTGGCAGTGGCTCGACTAGCAGCAGCAAGGCTTAGCAGTAGATTTACCGTTTAGTATCGAGACCTAAGTGCCTACTCCTGCACCCAACCACCCACCCACCTGCCCCGCTGGCATGCACTAATTGGAATCTCTCGTTTTGCGTATTGCGGCACACAGATGAGCCGACCATCAACCAGGCCACCACCAATGTGGTCGACGGCATCGACCTGGACGAAATCAAGGAGTTTGCCAAGGCCTTTAAGCTGCGACGCCTGTCGCTGGGCCTCACCCAGACCCAAGTGGGGCAGGCGCTGTCGGTGACCGAGGGACCCGCCTACAGTCAGAGTGCCATATGCAGGTGAGCTATGCAAGGACGTGCACACCCGAAGAGAATCTAAGGATCTATCCAACAAAACATTTACCAAACTGTTTGCCGTCGAGGTTTTTGTATTTTAAGTGCTCAAAAAACTAAAAAAAAAAACGATCGGAGTTTAGTCAAACAAAATTTAACAAAAAGAAATCAAAATACAGAAATATTTTTTGAAACACTTTCTCCCGCCCCTTATAATTTTCTCTTCAAGTCAAGATTATTTGTTAACTTTATTGAGTTTTCGTTTCGTCATTTTCTGGAATAACAATTTTGTCAGAGTGCCAGGACATTTTCTAACCGAGCGAGCCCAGACGAAAATTTTAACCACAAGAAAAACGAAAAACAAAAAGAAAATGTATATCAAAACAGTAACAGAAACCACCCGACAAATTTAATGCTAAAATTTAATTTTTTCTTTTATTTGTATTTGTTTTAATTTTTTGTTCTGAATCAAACGCCAACTCTATCTAACTCTCTCTCTCTCACCGCCACCATATCGAATATGTCCCCCCGCAACTATCGAATGTCAACTATCGAATGCAAGCAGTGCACTCGCTGCGCAGATGTACGCCGCCCAACTATCGACGCAGCAACAGAACATGTATGTGTGACATTGATGCTCCGAGTGTGTGTGTGTGTGTGTGTGCTGAATGTGTGTGTGTGTGTAAAGAGAAACCTAACTAAAGTGCCAGAGCATCGCTCTCATTATAAACTATTCATTTTTGCCATATATTTCGTTTTGTTTATCGCTTTATTTGCAAAAAAAAAAGAAGAAAATAAAATAAAATTAAACATGGAATTGGCCCAGGGCATTGCCAACGAGCAGGGTAATTCGAGTTTCAGAATTTGAACAAATGAACAAAGCTAAAGATCGGCTAAAGGGAGTTTACTCTCCCACACCAAAAAAACCAAAAAAAAAAAGAAGAAGGAATGCTAATTGACAATGTCCTGGCACTTTAGTTACGTTTCGTTTTACATTACTTTGTACGAGAGAGAGCCGCTCGCACTGAGTTGCAAGTTCCATTCACTAATCCAACTCCACCACTACTCAAAACTCAAAACCACAACGCAGGTTCGAGAAGCTGGACATTACACCAAAGAGCGCGCAGAAGATCAAGCCAGTGCTGGAGCGCTGGATGAAGGAGGCCGAAGAGAGGTGAGAGTATGGAGGCAGTTCCAACGCGACGTCAACACACACGCAAGGCGAAGCTTAACTAAATATCATTTCTTTCTCTCTCTTGTTTCGCCTTCAAGCAGTCACTGGAACCGTTACAAGTCCGGGCAGAATCATCTCACGGACTACATTGGCGTGGAGCCGTCGAAGAAGCGCAAGCGGCGCACCTCCTTCACACCGCAGGCCCTGGAGCTGCTCAATGCGCACTTTGAGCGCAATACGCATCCATCGGGTGAGTGGTAACTTTCACCGAAGCACACACTTTTCCACCATCGGACCTATCACTGATTATGGTATATCCCAACTGCAGGCACGGAGATCACTGGCCTCGCCCATCAGCTGGGCTACGAGCGTGAGGTTATACGCATTTGGTTCTGCAACAAGCGGCAGGCACTCAAGAACACTGTGCGCATGATGTCCAAGGGCATGGTCTAGGCGCAGGAGGAGCAGCCCGTGTAAATAGCACGCCCCCCCCTCTGTACATAGCTATAATGTATATGTATGTGTGTGACTGACTGTAATGTGTGTGCGTGTGTGTGTGTGTGTGTGTGTGCGTTAATTGTAAGCCCTTGCCCCACCCCTCGTAGAGTTTAGCATAGGCCATGTAAAGTAATAATGTGTCATCGCATTTATCATACGATCCCACACACAACCCCGAGAAACCAATCGAATTGAATATTTAAGCATACCTAAATGTATAATCTAAACTTAATCGTATCCCAAATAGCCTAAAGTTAGTCGTGATGTCCCCCGCGAGCAGACTTTGCGCAGTTTTTAGGCCAAATTTTAATTGATGTGCCATTCCAGAAAGCAAACAACAACAAAAGACACGTTTAATACGCATAAATAAAAACAATTTCAACCAAAACTGCATGGATCTACATACATAAGGAAGAAAAGGAAAACGAAATGGATATGGATATGGAAAAGGAAACTCTTCTTTAGATGAGTAAAAATAAATACTTGCATTTAATGCGTTGTCTCTTACATTTAACTCGTATACGAAGGTTCATTTTATTTCGATCACCCACTCATAAGCAAATTTATAGAGCCCTCTACCTAGCGTTTAGTCAACTCCCAAAAAATAAAAACAAAAAACTATGAAAATTTAATGGCAGTACACACTAGCAAGGAAACGCAGCAGAAACAGTTTAGACTAAGACAATTCGTGTAGCGATCTAAAATTATGTACGAAAAGAAACAACAAATAATAATGAATGGAAAAAAAACAAGAAAGAAAAACAAAAGCAAAAAAAAGACATATTTCAAATACGAAATTAAAATGGTACACAGCAAGAAAACAAACAACAACAACAACAACAGCCACAACTGAACAAATATTTAAATGATTGTAATAAAAACAGATTATTAAAAAACGTATATTTTATTTAAGGGATTTGGGTCGAATGAGGATTTTTATTCAAGAATGAAACTGAAAAGACTGAAACGCTCCCACAACTCTTTTACAAAATTATTCGCTTAACAAATGCACGAGCACATACAGGCTCCCCTGGATATGGTCTCAAAGCGTCCGCACTGGCAGTTATTACCATTCAAGTAGAGACAATGATGCATGCACTGATATTCGCAATCACGTCCCCTCTCCACTCTGACAACCGTGGGCGACGCACTGTGCCTGCCCGCGACGAGCAATCGTCAAGAGTACTGCCAGCAGCAGAAGAATCCTTAGGGCTTGCATCTTGTTGAAGACAAACCAAGATCTGGGTTTTTATAGTCGAAGCTGGCATATTATGATTACAAATGTTTTTTAATTACATTTTTATGTTATTTTCAACGCTGAAATGTATGGCCATATGGTCAGACATTCAAGCTCCCAGGGTGGGAACGTGGACCTCAAAAGGTCAAGCCCAATAAAGTTGATAAGACAAATTTGTGGAGCAGCTGGCTGTCGCTTTCGATTCTTGGAATTCCTATCTACAACCTAAAACTGATGTATCATAAAATCTATCTACTATTGGCAATATCACAAACGGCAACATTTTCTTGGCAAGAAAAAGGGCAGGACTTCAACAATCAATCAATCAATCAAAGAATCAATCAATCGCTCAGCATGATCTCCAGATTCTTTTGCTTTTGCCAGACGCGGTATTCAATCAGACCGTAGCTGGAAAGATAAACGATTGTAAACTTTTCAAACTGCCATTCAAAATTGAAAACTCACCCCACACAACCCACCAGCATGACGCACATCAGAATCACCAGTTTGGTGGAGGTGCAAAGCTGTGAACTGATCACATAGCCGATAACCGAACCCGTGCTCTCCCACAGTCGAAAATTGCTGTAGGCCGCAATCAGATGGTTCGGGAACAGGATGCCATAAAAAGCTGCAATCAGAAAATCCTCATTTAGCAGCTGTTAGCTTTTGCGCAAAGCTTTCCACTTACCATTGACAACAACCAACCAGACGCCATCGCAGATGCCCCAAACGGCCGCAAAGGCACAATACCGAATGTAGTCGCCCTCTCGCGCCTCCCACGAGTACATGTACGCCAGCAGACAGAGATTCAGGACAGCACAGAGTCCGGCCAGGGTGATGCGTCCAATGCGCTCCACCAGAGCACCGGCAATGCCCGCGGCAATGGCATTGGCAATGCCAAAGCAGATCATGGCAAAGCCAATCTTCGATATGCCCCAGCCGCAGGCGACAAAAGAGCGTGTAAAATCCACAGCCAGGAATGCCTCCTCCAGTCCAATAAACATGGTGATGGGCAGCATCAAAATCTGGCGACGCTTGCGCAGCAGATTAATTGTTACCGTCAGCAGCTTCAGGCCGGACATTCCGTCCCCAGTGTCGCCACGCTTGACGCCATAGCTGTGGAGGAGTACGAGTATTAGTTTGGAATCTTTCCAGCATGCCAACGACTTACCGCTTTAGTGAGCTAACGCCAAAGATCATCATGACGACGGCAGCGGCCATGCAGGCAAGGAAAATGGAGTTCAGCAGCTGGATCTGCTCGGGAGCGGGTGGCACCAGATTGGGATTGGCCTCTGCGCCCACACCCGGACAGAAACGAGCGCCGCACAGCTCTCCCACTTGGCTGAGGGCGGTAGAACTGCTCTCCAGACTTCCATTGACGGCGCCGCCCTTGGCCGGACCACTCAGCGTGAGCACCGACGAGGAGATGAGATTACCCCACACCTGCGCCATCTGATAGAAGATGAAGAACAGCCCAAAGAACTTGACCGTGTTGACATCCTTGCGTGATTTGTTGCCCCGCACTTGTGTCAGTGCCTCCGACACGGTGGATAGGTAAGTGCACTTGGAGCACCACAATGGTCCGCCGCCAAATCCCACCATCAAAGCGGCGGGTATCAATGTCTCGAAGCGGGGATAGAACTGCGCTGCGATGTACGGCATGTAGGCGAACAGAGCCAGGGCCATGGTCAAGCGGCAGCCAAACCAACTGTTGATTAGAGTGGAGTGTGAAATGTGTGTGTGTGTGTGTGTGTGTGTGAAGGAGAGTGTGTTTTGTGGCACATGCTTAGCAGGCGGTCATTTATTTTCGGAGGCGTCACCACACCTTACCCCACACCACACCCAATGACATGCCAAGGACAGAGCCTAGAGCCCATAAATCTAAATAAATCGAGCCAACTGATTAAAGTTGGTAATGCCCAGCAGAAGGGCAGGCCTGGCCAACGGGCGCGTGCCCCGAATAAGCCAAGCAAGGCGACGCAGCGAGGGTTTTTTGCTATAAATTAGCGATTTGTTTAAATGTCAGACAGAAACAAAATGGCACGGGGTTGGGCGGCAGCGTGGGCGTTCATGATGTGGGGTGCCGCATCGTATCTAATCCTGCGACTTCCTGTTGACATTTTAACAGTCAAATGAACTCGCCGACCCAGTATTCTGACTGCGCTTTTTGGGCCATGTCACATCTACATAAATTCCACATAAAAAATGAACCGGCAGACAATAACCCATAAACTTCTACGCTCACCACCGGTGGCAGAAGCGTTGATTTGCAATTATTTGAGTTTGACGTGGAGGTTACTCACCTAATCACAGTCATGGGCAGGAACACATTCGATAATATCAGGGAGCCATAGATAACGGCCAGTGTGGTGGTGCCCAGTGCCTTGTCCGCATTCACCGAACTCTGCAGATTCGATGTGCCATGGAAGGCCGTGAAGTGTATCATAAAGGCGAGGCCTATCACAACGACATTTCGGGTGATAATGAAACGTTCCTGTGGCTCGTACTGCTGCTGCTGATTGACTTTCGAGGCAGCAGCTTCCGTTGCATCCATGATGTTGCCGCCATCGCCATCGCCATCGCCATCGCCATGGACCACACTTGTGCCCAAAGCGAGCTCCTCGTTGTTGCTATTTGGGGGAGCCATGCTGATGGCAGTGCGGAAGTCCTGTAAATACGAATGCTTTTATTTTGTGTACTGCCTGCCTGTCCCTCTGTCAAAGGTTAAGGGCCCGGGCCGACCAATTGCTCTAATTAAAATGGAATCTCCGTTGATGCAACAGCAAATGTCACTCGTAATTAATGATGATGTGCAGTGTGGATAAATGGTGGCAGCCCAATTCAAATTCACATTCCATTTCAGCACTAAAGGTTCCATTTTGGGATGGCTGTTTGATGGCCATCAACTTCACATTCAGCTTTAAGTTATTCCTGTGTGTGTTTGGGGTTTCGGTTTCGGTTTCGGTTCGGTTTCTGTTTCGCCCTTTGGCCAATAATCTCGCCCTCCAATGCCCACGCCCATGCGCGTGTCCCGACAGTTATAGGATTTGGTCGTGCTTCAGCCTCCAGCCCATTGTCGCCAACTTACATAATCCTTTAGGCATTCTCACAGCACGAACCCCACTCCGTCTGGCCGCCTGGCCGCCTGGCAGCCTGGCAGCCTACAATTTATGCCAGTCTACGCCCAGAAGAGCTCCATGGTTCAGTGGCTCAGTGGTGGGTTGGCGATGGCTGCCTGTGTGTCTGTGCCATGGGCTCAAAAACGTTTTCTCGACTTTGTTTGCATTTGATTTTGGGGCTGTGCCAACGACACTTTATGAAATTTTACACCTTTGATAAAATGTTAAAGGCCTGTTTGCCATCTTCCGAGCGGCTTCACAGCTACCTCCCTCCCCCCGAAGGCTCTTACCCCACGGTTGTCTTGATGTAATGTAAATCGCGAGCTCTCTACAGCCTGATTGAGTTGAAATGTTTTCCCTTTGCCGGTTGCCGCTGTTTGCCCCTGCAAATTCCCTTGGCTTCACGTTGAAAATTGATTCTAAAGCTGCTACCTGGAGGCGTTACATGAACGCTCAATGGAATTAATTGCCCCCAAAAAGTTGTATTTTCCTCATTAACCGATTTTGATCAACGTTGCAGCCTCTAAGCAATCCTGTAACGTGGGCGGCTGATGGGCAATTAATTGCAACGCAACCAAAGCTGTAAATCAATTTGGTAGGCCATTAACCGGAACACTCAAATACACACACACCCAAGCACATTCATCATACGCCGTGATGCACAACTGCAGCTGATGGGATTTCACATTCATCTTTGTGTATGCCAATAGACCCGCATGAGTTACACATCACAAAATTGCACTCGAAGCTTTTTTGACCACAAAAAGATATCCTTTAAGCGCTGACAGCCCATAGAGGCAGGCAAAATGTACAGGTCACTGGGAGGTGTTTTCTGTCCAGTGTAATGTTGGGTCAGCATGGGCATCATCGTTCATCAACTAAATGAAAATCTGGCATATAATCATCAAAATGGTCACCAGCCCAAATGGGCAACCATTTGTGTTTTTATGTGCAACCCACACTCGTACCCTTTCCCTTTCCCTTTCCCTTCCCCAACGACACTCTGAATGCTGTCTAGGCCACTTCCCGAGCA